TGGAATATATATTTCGAGATTAAATGATCGGAATGGTATGGTTACTAAGACCGTCGAATTTGTTTTTTTCACGTTCAATAAGGATATCGAAAAAAATTTATGATTCCATTACAAAAAATAATACTGATCTTAAAATCTCGTAAGAAAAATGACCTTGAGAAAAAATTCATTCCACCGTTACACGTGTCCCTTAAAGTAGAAGAATCTTGTCCTGAAAACTTTGTTCAAATTTCAACAATAAATAAGGCATATATGGAGGTGATCCCATTTAGCTGCTCCACCCTGTACACTCAATAAAAGTGGCTTAAAATATATGATTCTCACGAAATACCACATTTTCTTCATACAGGCCAGGTGTGCTAACACATACGAGCGATAGTGTACAGTGTCGAACCTTGTATGTGGCTCGTTAGAAGTCTCCAGATCGGCTAAACGATACAAAGCACTTAACAAGTATCGTTGGTTTCGATGAGCATTAATCGAATATTAGGTACATGTACGTACAGACACGAATTGTACCATCGTTGGGTCCATGGACGTAGGATAGTGACATCGAGTCGGTGGAACACTTTCTTTCGCGACGCTCGTCGACGGAGTCGGTTTCGCGCGACGTAACAGTCGAGCTGATAAATACATTACACCGAATTACGCAGATCCTTCGCCGCGAAGGCGCCGCGACGTCTGTCGTCCGCCGTGGCTCTTCAAAGTCGCGCGCTCCCTTTCTACTCGATTCGCTACCATCCATGGGCGTAGCCAGGTTATCAGTCAAGGGGGGGGGGATGTAATTTTTTTCCTCTGGGAAGTGGGAGGGGAAGCAAAGTCCAATTTTTTTCTTCTAAAGTAGTGCAAAACCCTACTTTTTTCCGTCCAAGGGTGGGGTGGGGGGGCAAGTGCCCCTTGGCTACGCCCATGCTACCATCGTGATCTTCATTTCTTTATCTGTGAACCTCTTTTTGGTTCCCCCCTGGTCCTCCCCTCGTTTCTTTGCTTTTAGATAATTACGAATTAATTGCAGCCGACTCCGGTGGTCGTTACACTTTCTTCGTCTTGGTTTCTTTTTTTTCAAGTTGCGCGATGGTAAGGTGGAGTAAGAAAGGTCGTTACGATTTCATTGGCCTTCAACGCGATACCGAGCGAGAAAAAAAAGTGAAATGACGAGATCCGACCTAGGACAGTTCATTCGTGGACGTAAATGGAGATAAACGCCCACGCAAGGGGTAGCTGCTCGAAACCGAAATCGTACGATAAAATCGGCATGGCTTTCCTATGAATCGCACGATTGTTCTTCGGGGAAAAGAAAAACCAACCTCGAGTCGTCAATCCTCCGGAGGAACAACACTTTATTTGATGGTTTTTGCTTCCATGAAAGTGACGGTACGTTCCACAAAGTTCCTTATTGCCGACAGAGGCAGAAACAAAGTGTTGGCGTAGGCCACGTGGTTTCAACGGAGAAGCAGTAAGATCGAGGGAAGATAGAAACAGCCCTAAACGGTCCTCTTTGAAGTATCATTTTGTTGATCGGGTCGAGACAATCGTTTGTTAACTGTTGTAAATAACGGTGCCAGTTGTGTATTCTGATCTAAGATCAACAAGATCCTGTGATGTTATTAAAGTGACAAACAACAATTGGTAACAAAAAGCTGATGTTTCTTGTGATAGATCTTTTTTTACATACTTCGATAGACTCTTAGCAGCACAAATATTAAATTATGTAAGTTTAAGTTTAGATTGTACAATTAGGTCGTGATGTGTTACTTTATTATCCTCATATATTTCTTCCGTTTAATGAATTCACCACAAGAAACTTGACTGCACGAACACTGTTCGTAGAAGCTGTCGTATTAAACGCAACAATGAAATAAGAATCATCCACGAAGAATATCGCGAACAGGCCTCGCCACGATGTTTAAGTTACGTACTCTCTCGTTCGCTCACAATGCGAGCCTTCCCTTAACCGCACGTCATGCGGAAAAATTAAAAGAAAAAAAAAAGGGGGGCAAGTCGAAGCGAACGGCGGCTTTTTTCGCATTAAACAGATACCTGCCTGCCAAGTCTTGCCTGTCGTTTTTAATGAGACCCACGCGGGTGTTGTGGGTTAATTATTCCTCAAAAAACCCTCGCTCGTGTAATTCTTACGTTCGTTAACCATAGTCGCCGGGAATTTCTTCGAGTGGACCATTCGAAACTGATATAAAGTCTCGCTGGTTCGCTAGAAATCATTGGTCAAAAGTGGAACTCGATCGTCTGGGCGTTCTACGATCGGTGGGAAACTTCTTAATTTTATAACGGTGTCCGCTGCGAGGACGCAACGTCGAACTCTGGCCAATAAAATTAATTATTAGTTGGACAACTTGATTGATTGGATAGTTGAATTCACGCGATACCGTCGGCAAATGAGAATCACGAACAATGCCTGGGAAAATGCAAGGAGGAGATCAGAAAAAACAAATAAAAGAACAGAGAAAGTTTCTTTTATTCGCTCGGACGTGTCCGTGAAGATCTCAATACATCGAAACACGGTATTGGTGTGGTCTAAAAATCAATCGCAATCGTATCCAAAGATTGCGAGAGTAACCTTTCCGATGTTCCCTCCGCCTCCCATTCATATCTCAAAACGCAGCTTCGCGGCATTATTTCTACGAAACCGCTTCAACGTTCGATGTTGCGGCGCTGTTTGTGGGTATAGGTACCATTCAACGCCTACAGACGAATAACAGGATGAACTTGATGTGTGTATCGACCATGTCCTTCGCCTTTAATCTCGTCTGCTGTTCGAAGTATTCGAAACATTCGAAAAGTTGGACAAATATCAGGCAGAGATGGATCTTTTAACTTTATTGTCTTGTTCACGAGGTACTAGTATTTGGTATACCTGCAGATTGATGAAATTACCGTCTCTATACTAATATTTACATTGGTTTCTAAGAGCTCAAAACTCACGAGGCATTGCTTGTTGGATTTATTTATAATCTATACCTTTCAATCACACATTTAAATTCGTACTGTCTTATGTATCTATAAATATTTTTATTATTATTATAACGCTATTCCATCTGACATACACTCCCGCTAATAAATATTAGGACACTTACCGAATATGTAGGAAATGTTAGAAGTCATTACGAAATTGTTGAAAATTTCACATAATAATTGTTTGGGAGATATTAAACCTCAATTGATAACTTATGGTATTAGAAACGTAGCTTAAAGTATAAAATTCTTATGAAACATCACATTTTTTTCTGTTAGGCCAGATGTCCTAATACTTATGAGCGGTAGTGTACGTTCCCTGACGCTCTTTACGCTCCGTAAACATAATTCCTCCTCTTTCTATCACTCTTTCTTCGATCTTTTTCTTCATCTCCGCGATCTTTTCTTTCTTTCTACTGTTACGCTATATGCCTATGTGATTTACTATAGTCATCACGGTATTTTAAGCAACTATTCGGAACAGGTTATTCCAACATCAGCATTGCAGAAATCCCGCTCATTCGCCACCGTGAAGAAGTAATAGTTGCAATGGCGCATTAGTCATTACTATTATTACTGAAGCAAACTGTAGATCTCTACGGGTGGAATTCACAGTTTGTACATGTTCCATAAAGAAGATAAACGTGATCTCTCGTGGGCAGGACTCGCACAAGTGTGATCATTTAAACGATGACCATTTCTCCGAGCTTGCTGGCACGCATTGTGTCGAGAAAACTGTCTTTGCTACGGCGAGCTATGTTTGCAGGCGTAACTTTTCCCTTCAATCACGGCCCGCGAAAATCTACAGGCAGTGACGTTTCTCGGGAATACGTCGCCCTTCTAATCTGGTTAAAAACAATACGCTGTAACATCAATCCATCAGTGACAGAGGACGTGATTCGCGTCGGTGACCCGTGGACATGGTCAGAGATTCAGATGTTCCGTAAAATTCGTTGATAAAACTGATTAGACAAATGACGTATATCCTTCCAATTTTACACCGTTCGTGCAGGTCTATTTGACAGATTTGTATTTTTAAGAAAATAATGGACACGAACGTGTGACCAAGGAACAACAAAATCGCAGCGATTTTGTCAAATTTTGTACAGATTATTGGTATGGATGCGAGCGATCATTATTAAAAATTTTTAATGAATAATTTAAGATAGTTTTACGGTTAATATAAATATTTTGTTTAATTGTAACGTCTTTTTATGCCCTTAGGCCTAAACAGAATTCTTACATTACAATATTTGTAATATAACTTAGGGTAAACACACCAGAGAATAAACACTTCACAGATTTTGTACCTATTAATGTCGAATTTTAAATAATAATATTAACATCTATACCTTTTTGTAACGTATAGATTTCAATTGGAAAAATGGAAAAAATATATCTAATTAAATTTTGAGAAGCAATACAGATTACACCAATGATTAAGTAAATGTACATTTGTAACCGATTTTTCATACATAATATTCAGTCCCTGGTACATGTTTATTGACAGGTGCATCCGCCTCAATTTATTCAAAACAAGGTGAAAAACGCTCATGTATTTGTGAAGTCAATCGACCAATTTGAAAACAGCGTGGCGAAACAGGTACCATTATAGGCGCGTATAAGTTAACAAGATCGCGTTTATACGGTTATTCGGGGTGTCTCTCGTACGACACGATCCTGGATGTTCCCATCCCAGCCGGTGCTCCATTCACGAACTTTCATTCATGAGTCTGCGGTAAGTGGCCACCGGGCGCTATGTATTCCGAAAGCAGTTTTTCGTCGGTTTCGCGGGGGTCGCCAGTTTCATCGACGGGCGTTTTCTGTGATATCATCGTTCTGGGTGGAGACTAGCTCCAATGACGTAATGAGACAGAGGGTGTACAATACATACGGGGCGGCCGTTGGGGGGGGGGGGGGGGGGGTCCCTCTTGGTGGTACGGAAGAGAGACGATCGTCGAAGAGGGGTGAGTGGTTGCAGTATAAATGTGGCCCGCGCAAGCTCCACCAATCACTCGCCCTCTGACCTCCAAACTCTAAGCTCACGGTGGTACCAAACAACCCCCCTCTCCTTGCACGTACGATCCGCAAAGAAGCGACCGCCACCGTCGTTCGTTCGAACCCGAAACCACCCGTACTGCTGCCTCGTGATCGCCTCGTGGGTTCAGATCCGAGAGCACCCGTCGACGTCGAGGAGTTCCTCCAGTTGGTTGGTGCGACCACCGAGTCGAGTACACCCCCTCTCGACCGAAGACAGCACGGGGAAGAAGAACAGAAGACTGGGTATTTGTTCGACCTTCGACAACACTCTAGACATGACAACGGTGAGTGCTCCACACATTACCACGTTATTTTTCTCTCGTTACCGTGAGTGTGCCTTTTGTCCGTCGGTGTGCAGATTGCTCGCGCGGTCGAGAATCTCGCGATAACACCAGACGACAAGACGTACACGTATTAACAAGACGGCGTTAACCAGTTCGCTACCAGCACATTACTTCGATAATGTTCGTCACAGACTATGCTAGATTTTCAATATTCTATTCAATGGGATATTCGTAACTTTTTGATCGGAAATTAAAAATACACAAAAAGGAGACAATTACTGACCCGAAATGTAGGTGAATATTGCAAAATCTATTCCCTTTTTTATCTAAGAAAGTATGCTGACATGGTACTTTGAGCGTCACACATATGTGACGCTGGTAGCGAACTGGTTAACGTCGTCGAACATACGGAATAACGTCGAGGAAGATTGAAGATCGTTCTTGTTGTATTATCACGTTAAGATCGGGTCAGTGTATCGGTCGACGGGTAGACGATATTAGGAGGTGTATACGCGGTGGCACACCTAATTCGGTTTAAAGTAGCCGTTGGAGATAAGGGAGAAGGGAAACAGAGGTGTGACATAGAGTAACGGCCAATGCAAACATTCCACCCGTCTTTCGTTTTTTTTTTTCCTTCTTCGGAAACGGATTACCGTGAACGGGATGGTATCGGTGTTTACGAGCGCGAGAGACCGATGTCTGAGTTTGATCGGGACTCCAGTTGAAACAATAGGATTTCCACGAAACGGCGGATTAAAAGGTGTTACGCGCGCGCTCGTTTTTCCCGAGTCAACTCGGTCGTATTCGATAGACAGACGTATTTATCTACGGGGATGGCGTTGTGGAAAAGCCAATCATACTCTGGTATTGTCGGGGAAACACCTCGTCCTCTTGGGAGGATCGTAAAACCCGATGATCAATCGTTATTTATTCGATACCGGAAAATTTCGAACTGTTTATTTCCATTTCGCCGGACGGTCTAGACTCGAACGAGTCTCACTCGGAAGAACGTTATGGAGAGATAAAGTATACCCTGCCGTAATTCACCGTGGGCGCACAGGTGAAGTCACAGAGTCGCGAAGAACGCACTGAAGTCTCACCGGAGGATCGTGGGAAATAATGGACGATAAAAAAAGGAGAGATCGTTGGCCACGAACGTGAGAGATTGTATTTGCGTTGTTACCGTCATTATTAAATCGGCCTACTGTACCTTTTGGTTAACCATGACAGCGGATACATTAACTTCTCAACCAAGGATGATGAGTTACTTTTTAACTTTATTTGTTTATTTACCGTGTCCATCGATTTCATTTTGTCATAGTATCTAAATCAGTATAAATCAGAGGTAGGCAAATTCATTATCTAGATAAAGAGTTAGAAGATAAAAATAGAACCAAAAAGAAATTCTAAGTTTTATAATAAAATTATATTTTTTCTTTAATATGCAGATACGTGGTGAATAATTATTTAATCCCATTAAGTACTTATAGGTCAGAATGACGATCTTATTGACGACCATACGACCATATTGCATTATGGTTTATTCGAATAAAATTGTGCCCAATTCTGGTAAAAATTGCATCAGGATCTTCGTTAGATGAATCCACTTCATCTATATTCAAAAATCATTCAGTTAACGGATTACAACATACAAAAGTGTACGATTAATTTATTACCTTTGCCGTACAATTTCGCGTAAGAAAAATTTAAAAGCCGTTTATTTCAATCAAATTGTTAACAATTACTAAAAGCTTCTAGCTAATTCGTTCGATACTGATGTTCCCGCCACAAGCAATGGTACGCACCGCTGGTTGAAAAAAGAATGAACCTCAGCGTTCAGAATCATCGGCATTCACGAACTCAAATAAAATCACTCGCACAAAGTGGACCGGTTAAACTTCACCGCGGCAACAGTTTGCTGAAGCGGTTCATCGGTTCGCCCACTTCGCGAACCCTTGGGGCGATCTTGAATGGTGGATCTACCGGGGCAGTGGCAAAGGGACACACGGAACCTGGTTAAATACGACAAAACGACTGCTCGCAAAATAATATTGTACGTCTTGCATCGTGACTGTAAAAGATACCTGCCCGCGAGCGTCTTGTATACTCGCGAGCAAACTCGGCTTCCGCTAGGAGAAAATGTGAGGTTGGCGAAAGGCCCCCTTACCATTTAGTTTTGGAAGTTACTGAAATTTATGCCAAATTAATATTCGGTTTTTAACAATTATTTCTGTACTCGAAATAAATTTCGTAAGTGCTGGGATACCCTTCTCCTACGTCACTTTTTCCCCTAGTGGAAACCGAGTTTGCTCGTGAGGGTACATTCGAAAGCAAACTCTTCTTCCGCTAGGGGAAAAAGTGGCGTAAGAAAAGAGCTTCCTACCATTTCTTAAAATTTATTTCAGGTACTGAAATAAATGTTAAACCGAATGTTAATTTGGCATAAATTTCAGTAATTGCTAAAACTAAATAGTAGGAGGCCCTTCGCCTACGTCACTCATATTTACCAAGTAGTAGGAGAGTTTTCTTCTACGCCACTTTTTCCCCTAATGGAATCCCAGTTTGCTCGTGCGGGTACAGTATCTCGAACGTGAGACGAGGTTTATCCGAGAGAATTTATACTTTACCTCGGCTATTGGAAGCGATAACGATCGAGAGCTTGTAACTTCATAAATCTGACATCGTTGAGAAATTATTGCCACGGTTCCCGCAGTCACTGGCTTTTATTCGGGGTAACGATCGAAGGATCCAGGAGCAGGAAACGGTTCGTTGGATGCAGGTTAGTCGCCAGGAAATGCATAAAGTGATTTGCTCAAATGTCGAGCGAAGCGCGAACGATTTAAATTAACTGGCCCCGGCGCTGTAGCCGGGGGATTTTCACGTGCAAAGCTATCTGCTCGTTAGGTATTCATCAATGCCTTTCGCCGTAACTTTTTACGACCGTATTTCTGTCCGACTGTCTGTCCCGTTTCCTGGCTTCTACGGTAATTATAAACAATCCGTTCGGAAGGATTGATCGGTCGAAACACGGGAGGAACGGTTTGGCGATAGGATGTTTGGGATTTATGGATTCGTGTGTCTTCGTCGTCTCTTCTCGGGATTACGTTTCGTTGAAATTGAATTAATGCCAAACGAAAATCGTGCAGTGTAATAATAATTGTGACAGTAGTAGCGTGTTTATTGCGCCGATCTGTGCACGTAAACATGCGGTGTGGACACGAGCTTTAGGCTAATATTACGCCGAATCGGTAGAAAATAGTACATGGATAAATGATAAAATAGATTTACCTAAGTTTTTCCAGTTAAGAATATGAATATATCTCTTAAAACGTTAACTTGTACATCCGTTTTTGGACCAGCAATTTACTTTAATAATTTACTTTCATAATTTTACTTCGAATCAACTTGGGAGAAATGAATCCGCGATGAAATAGTGCGGATAGCGGAGGATCGGGATTCGAAAAGCCGCAGTATCGCGAACCAAACGCAGAACGAGGGGGGAATAGAGTGAAAAGGGTGAAGAGCTTTTTCTATGCCACCAGACAGAGAGACGCCAGGGCGTCCCACATCCCAGCCGTGAGTTAAATCGCGCGTTCATGCCTCTCTTGCCCTCTCCAGCTTTTTCCTCGCGTTCTCCGTCCTTCGTCCTCCGCTTCTGATTATTTACCCTTCTATCATATGTCCATTTGATTGTGCGCACAAGAAGAATGGTTCGATTGAGAACAATGATCGAGAGTGGAGAAAATTATTTTATCAGCTCTTGAGCTGTCGCCACGCTTCCTTGCTCCTGTGATCTGTTCTACAACCTCTAGTATCCGGTCTAGACGCTTTACTATCGCGGATGGCGTCGTCCCGTTCGTAAACCATCATTCAACCGTGCTGATAGTAGCCTCAAGAACATTTTTCGAACTGTATTACCTTTACGGTCGCCAAACCGTATTCCCAGTTGACTTTCATGGAAAAGAATTATATTTTAACGCAGATTGGCTAACAACGAGATTCCCTATTGGAGGTCTGGGTTGGGTCTCTATTTTCTCTCCCGGGAGAACATGTTCCTAACTAAATAACTAGGTCTCTATTTGAGGCAGCATTATTTCGGAAAACTGAGTAAACGAAAAACAACTATAAACAAAAGAGCACGTACACCGACGAGCATACTCTGCTTCCGCTAGGGGAAAATGTGAGGTTGAAGGAAGGCCTCTTACCATTTAGTTTGGAGAGTTACTGAAATGTATGCCAAATTAATATTCGCTTTAATATGTTTTCGATCCAAAATTTAAGTCTTGAGAACATCCGTAGGACTTTTGGGACGGACGTTTCTAGAACATCCGAAATTTAAATCTTACGAACGTCCTAGGGATGTCCAAAATAGACGTAAGACATTCGAATATAAACTGGACATGAAACGGACGTCCTTAGGATGTACGGTGCTATATGGAGCGCGTGGGCCGGGAAAATCTCCGCGGGTGCGAACGTCCAGTTTTACGAGCCCACGAATTACACTGGCGTGTCGAGCCTTGCCGCGGTAATGATCGCGTGAATGTAACCAGATACAAAAAGCTTTAGGTAATCGGATTCCGAATGACACGTGAACGTTACAGAAAAAAATCTGTATCAAAGAAAACGAGAGGCGGTTCGTTGCTTTGAGAAAAAAGTTCCTATCATCGATACGTTTCCCGTCGTGGTTTCATATGGATCGTTATTAAATATATTATCGCAACATCCCTCCCGGGTAAGCGATCCCCGTGTCGCGAATGGGAATTTTCATGAGGAGTAGATATACCGTTTTGCTTGAACGCAGGGGCGTGTCTTCTCGCGAAGGGCAAATTTTATACTTCGCGTTTAGGCCTCCCCGTTTTTCAAAGTTGATAAGCGACCTGGAGCTGTCTTTTCCTTCGCCTGGAGCTTTTCGTCGAAAGACAAGAAGGTTAACTGCGTGTACCGTGGGGAACGAGACGTAGTACCGCGGGATTATCCGACGTGACCTGAACAACAGCCTCCGAGGAGAGTCGCGCAGACCTTGGGCATTATTCTTATAACGTTCGATTAGTCGATAATGCGTGGCGTCCCCCGAACAAACAACGAACAGGAGGGGGAAAAAATGTATCCTCGATAATTAATTTTCCTGTACGGATTGCTACCGGTACCGGTGTTTACATTAGGTTTAATCGATGGCAGGACCGAGCGCACACTTCGAATTAAATTAAATTAAACGAACCGCTGCCGACGGGCCAACGAACTTTTTTCCTCGTTCGACGGCAGACTTGACGATTCGAGTAGAGGGTAGTAACGGAAGTCGATGGCAGTTCAATTGACTCGTACGTTGATTTAGCTATTGAGCAAGATCACCTGTTGTTCGGAAGCCGCACTGTCTCCTACACATCTCAAACCTCGGAAGCTGAATGGTATGGGACAGTCGAATTCAGGGTCAGTTTAACCCGTAACGGAATTTCCGTTGAACGTGGGTTTCAAAAAAGAATTGGGCGTAACATTTTATGTATATTTTAAAGTTCATATGTTACATTTATATATAATTACAAGAAATACCGCAATGGCTACAGATGGGTAAAAAAATGACCTTACATTCGTCGTATAAGGGTTAATTCGTTCATAAAAGCAGAATACAGTAAATCCTCGATGAGTGATCGAAGGCTCCTCGGCAACGAACATAAAATATTTCAAAAAACTAGTGGCCATGTGCCGTTATCAATTTTTACTAAAATTTCAATTTTCATAGCAAAAGGTAATTTCTTTCTTCACATGACGAGTATACTCGTCGAACATTATTAAACGGTGAAACAAATTCTGATGAATATTAATAAAGTTATGGAACATTGGAGTTCGACAATCTTTTGCTAGTGCTCCAGTGACGCAATCATTTTTGCCAGTAGCGTATGTATGTTTTGAAATATTCACCTACACTTTGTGTTATTCATTTATGTATTAGTATCTGATCGATAAACTAAGAACATTACACTGAAGAGAACGATGGTAACCTATACAGTGGTCTGTGACGAATGTTTTCGAAACCATATGGTGGTGGTTAATGTGTTAATGAAGAAATAGAGGCGGGAACGCGAAGCCCGTGTCTGATAACGCTATGCAACCTCCGTGTGAAACGGGCAAATATACAATGACAAGTCCGAGCATGTAACCATAAACTCGTTTTTGAAGCTTCTGCAGTCTTTTTTAATTTGAAACCCGCGGACGTTACCCTTCATCTCGTACCGAAGAACAATGTCGATAGATACAATGGGATGCACGAGCCAGCTAATTATGTAACACGCGTCGCAAAATTTACCCAGATTACACGATAAAATGAACAGCGTAGCGTAGAAATATTGTTTTGAGAATTTATTATTTGTGTCGACCTTACGTATAGCGATACGTTTTAGCAAGTTCATGCAAAGATTCGATCACTTGTTTCCTCCTTTGTCTCCTATTGTCTGTTGTCGTACAATCTTGAATTAATATAGTTTTAAATCATTTTTCTATTCATATTCGAAAGCATAGAAAATTTTCATATATTATTACTTTTTGAGATCTTTCAACGCCTAATTCGTCAAATATATTGTATGAGAAACGATTCTCAAGCCAATTGACAACAACGAACGCTTAAATAGAAGATACGTATTAAAAACGATAGAATTATACGAATTCTTGTTATTGACTCTGCTACCTTGTGCCACGAATTCACGGAGAACGGAGAAACACCGAAACATGAATCGTTGCGGTCGAACGGGGAAGCTTTTTCGCGTGTACGTTGATCAGCAATCCATTTGCATAATTTGCGTAATTAGGGTAGCCACCAATTAACGAAAATTAACCGTGTGCAATGTTATTGCACGGTCTCGTCACCACCTACTATCTATATCCCGTCCAGCGGTTCCTTTGATGAATTCTGAATTAATACACGGACGTTGTGGAACGGTGGCTATGGGTGAACGAATACCACGTGCAGAAATAATCAGCCTTTCTCGCTACGTAGATCGTGACAAGAAACCGACGTTATTATCGCGTTAGCGGTCCATTAAGAAGCGTTTAAGAGACGAAAAACGGAAGTGAAAGAAGCAAAAGTGTAGGAGGGCTTGAAAGTCACGCGTGTGACCTCGTCGTCGGGCGAAATTGTACGAGTCCCGATTTGAGAATTAGTTAATATGCGGGACGACGAGCTTATTTTCGCGTCGATAATCCGGTATCGGAGCCCTGAGCTTCGATTATATGCAAAATCGTCGAAGAAAGCGCCCGGAAGACGCGTTAAGAGTTATCTCGCGTACCGCGATAACAGGCCTGTCTATTGTCTGTCGTTCGATGGGCTCATCGTTCAATCGATAACGATCGGGTCAACGACGTACGTTCCTTCGAACGATCTCTCGCGAGACGCACGTTGAAATCTAAATGGGAATCGCTCCGACACCTGATACATATTCGAAATGAAAATAAAATACTTGAACGCTGTAGCCAATTACGTTAAATCACCTATTTGCGATACTATGGATATGATTACGGATTTCATAGCATATACGTGATTATCTGAAACTTGCTATAGTCCAACATTTAATACGAACAATTTTATTTAAATTCTGACACAACGCTTAAACGAGGCGAATGAAACATTTGTTTTATTCCACTTTCTGTTGAATTTATGATGTTTCATTACGGAAGTCTCGTAATACCTCACCGTTTAATTACCTGTATCTTGTTTTATATTTTTAGTAAGTACGATAATATAGCTTTATTACAAATACTACGAAATAATAGAAGAAAACTAAAAGAGAATGCAAAGTAAGTGGAAAATAATGTAGGAACGGTAATGTTAAGAGGGAGGTTATGTAGACAATAATAATAATAATAATATTATATGCGCACATACGTTGCTTATTCATAGTCGACATTGTTTTTACAGAATTACTACTTACCTTGTTTGTATACTTTTCTTTGGCGTGCACGGTAAACAAATTGCATTAGTCTTCCACCGTCACCAATCAGTGATAAACGATTTTGTTTGCGTCAAGAATATTTGTGTTAATGATTTTTTGCGCTCGATACACGCACGAACCATATTTGGTTTATACACCTACACACCGCGCCGAAATATTTCTTGCAATATCCTCCCTGGAAACACCACGCGCACAGTGGAAATTGATTAAGTGATTCGGATTAGAATCGGAAACCGATTGGAAATGTTTAATTATGAGCTCTTTAAGTAGCAATAGAGATCACTAGACTGCGTATTTTTATGCAAAATGAGACTTTATGAAGTGATTTCTGAAAACAAGAGTAAAAATAGACAATTCTTTCCTTTCTCAGGAATTTTAATGGGATAAAAATAAAATAAAAAGCGTATTAAATTCAATCGAATTTTTGTCCTTTACTATACTACACATACATCTGTATGCTATAAATGCATAAAACCCGCAATCTAGAGATCACGTTGCCTGGAATTTAGAACAATAACTTCGAGTGTCTTGTGCTCTGAAACTGCACGATTGCCCAGAAATGCATTAAACGAGTACAAGAATGGGAAGCGTCTAGTTTTCTCGCATAACTTCACCTCGAAACATTGGTCGTCTACCTTGAACCAATTTAAAGACACAACGGCTGCCCCGGCCACGTGGGACGTTCACTGCACACGTAAAATCACAGCACAATACAAAAGGAACAAAAACCAAGGATGTTTTCAGAGCGTAACATAGCAGCCGTAAATGTCACGCGCGTTTCCTAAGTTCCCAAAGTTTATCGTCGAATCGCCTGTTATGCGCCCGGGATTGACGTGAAACTTTCAAAGACGCTCGAAAACGGAAGATCGGTGGGTTTGGGTTCGGATCTCGTAACTCTGACCGTTTGTTTCGACGTGAGGATGCAAAAGTTACGTGTGTGCCTCGTTATCAACCGCAAATCATCCCTCCGCTCGCCATAAACACGCCGGACCCGCCTAAATCCCAACCGTCCACCCACCCGTTTCTGTCCACGGTGTTTTCCGATCCGCTGACTACGTATTGTTAAGCGCCACCGCACAGGATGACTCGCTGGCGAATAACAAGACCGCGAGTGGCATCGAGAACAACTTGGCTCAAATTGGCTGATGCAACCGCGGAACCACTGCCGTTCTTTCTATCCGCCTCCAGCGTAGCGTTCGAAATAAATGGGAGATCTGATATCGATTTTGAATGAACATGTGACTTGGTGACAGGTTGGCAAGCCAAACACGCCGGAGCCGCGTGAAACTTGGCGACAGTGTCCTTCGTTACGATCGAATTTACGGGACACCTATTGATCAGTTGCGTTGTAATACCAGCGTAAAATTAAATACACTTTGAAAATTAATAATATACTTTATTTGCGACGGAGAAGTTTATTTGGCTTTACAGCCAAGCGAGATCTGGCGTAAGGTGAAAATCTTGAGTTTAAGAAAATACTCTCAACCACCCCCACCAATAGCCTCTTGTGGTAGGTGCTCGTTAGAAACGCTTAGTAGGTTAACTGTTGTAGCTCTAATAGGTAATGGATTAGGGTGTTTTAAACAGTTCGTAATAGAGAATTCCTTGTGAGCACAGTAGAGCCTCCCACATCCGAACTAATAGAGAGACACAAAGCTCTATTGTATTATCAAATGCAAGGTAACATCATTTTAGAATGGATTCGTTCTGTTTTTCAAGCGGAAATTGATGGCCCTTCTGTGACACGATTTTATGACAGGAATATTGAATAATTGAGGGAAGGGTGAAAGAGAACCGTAGAATTATACAGAGACTATAGAGAAACAGGAATATTGAATAAAAATGTTAGAAATAACTCTCATATTTTGATACTCTCAAACCGATAAAACTTTCACACTCGTTGAATAATTGTGTGAATTAATAGTCTTCGAAATTATGTTTCCAGGCAGTGGTGTATATCCAACGATGTATTGTCGTACTCGCTATTCTTCTCTGCTATTTCCATGTCCGAGGCGAAAGGGTGGACTGCGAGTAAGTACACGTGCGCGATCTTAATTATAGAACATCTGCGTGTTATTGTTTCGTCGGTGCTAACAACGAAATACGCGTTCTTTCCAAACCATGTAGGCTGTATCCGTTCCATCAAACCTGCAGAGGTACAATGTCGAGGAAACGCGCGATGTTCCCGACCATATACGGATCAGGTTGCGACGGAAGTAAAGGAAACGTAAACTGCATCAGGGAATTCGAGGACAGACACCGTATTCCTTATATTCCACTGTCGAAGTCGAGACTCTTGATTACTCTCCTTGATAACGTAAGTCATGTTCTAGTTTCAATTACATTCGAGGATGCGAAATTTTGAGTACCTAACATACCCGGTACGAGTGGACTTGACGTCGGTATATCATGATCGCTGTGACACGGAACGTGCGAAGTGGTCCTATTGTCGGTGGCATAACTGAGAAAAGAATGATTCTTCGTGAAACATACGAGAATAATATTCGACGTTCATATTTGACCGTTACATTACGGTAGCGTTTTGTTCTCTTCTGTATTATTCTTATATGTGAAAGTATAAACTATGTTATATTTGCATTTATTACAGTAGGATTGTAGTTAGATAAACATTTAAAGTTGATTTTCTCGGAAACATAGCCCTGTATGGAGAAATTTTATTGCAGACTTTCGATCGATTTGTTTTCATAAAAAATCACTCTCTTGTCGGCTGTATAACCAATAACGAACCAATATACATGCATATATGCCCCGTATGTGTACTTTCGTTGGAGTGAACTTCGACCAACATTTTGAACTTTCATGTATGGCAAGCAGAGGTCAACTTTGTCTATTTTAGAAAAAAGTAACTGGTATTGACCTACTTCTATAAAATTAAATGAACATTCAATAAAATCTAGCTGCAAACGTACGGGATTTGTTACAGTGAACATAATATTAAGATAAAGATAGTCGACGAAAAAGGCACTGAACATCGAAGGAGTTTCAAATTTCTTGATTCTTACCGTAGGATCCGCCGAAGGACGCTACGTACATGGGACGCCACAGACAAAGGAACAATGAAATGGATGAACGAAGGCCACCCTTAATGGAGAACTTTTTATCAGAATTGGAATCTTCGGACAGCAACTATTAAATGGACTGATCAGGAAATAAATATTTGCTCGACTTGTGCGAACATTTTTCATTAATCGAACTTTCTGAAATGTGTGTTTTCTGCCCTCTTTCTATACTGTTCACGTCGAATAAAACTCCTCCCCTCGCCCCCTCGCTGTCTTTCTCTTTCCCCTTTCAAAACCTTTACCTTCCATCCGGTTGTACCCACTCATGTGTCTTCCCTTTAGTCCGATCTCATTATTTCCGAACTGAGATATGATTGAAATATTGTATCCACGTTATTAACAATACATTATGTGCTGAAGCATCAGAAAATACATTTGAAGTTCGCAGCAATTCCTTCGACTGTCCTACCGAAAAGAAAGTACGAAATTGACGTTGCGAACGGTGCCAGTTCACTAAATGTGACCACCAGCTGAATCTCTTGTACATAAACGGACTTAAGACGATTACACAAAACTGTCCTCGTTATGTTCGAACGTGAAAATACAGAGTCAATAAAAAATATTTGTTTCTAGAAAGTTTCGTGCATTCTTTATATGTGTTTCAAGTGTGTGAATGTACATATAACATGCGATTACGTGAAGCAAGTGACATGTACATCTTAATATTTTGAAATTTTACAAGTTCTACAATAAATTCATGAATTTATGTAGTTATCAGACGTGACACTCAGTTTATTTACATATACAGTACGTTCGCAGTGCTTGCAACCAACAAGTAACTCCTACTTCCTTACGAACAAAAACTGTTCTTTGCATCTTGATGATCAGTGTGCATTTTATCGCAAGGTGTTTATTTCATTGTTATTACTATGTCTTTATTACGCAAAATATCGATGAAAACATTAGACTGAATAAAAAGCTTTTGCGTTTTCTATGGAATATTATTATAACGCCCTGTTATATATAATTCGTTAATAATAATATTTCTCTTTTTCATCATCTTATCTACACATATAGTATCACAAGACACGTATATTCGATATACATTACCTTACTCATTAATGTTCAAACTAACGTCTAAGTATGGTTCTAAAATTTCGATATGGAGACTTTGGTATAGATACTGCAGATGGTGCATCACATTTTGAGCAACTTGACATAAAAAGAGAAGATTTTTTACAGGCGACAATTTCCACAACTCGCATCATTGTAATGATAATAATATATTATAGAGAGCTCGTGACGAAGTGTATTATTGAAGTACACCATCGTTTGTAATTCCTGAGGTGTTTCGAAATCATTTTTTCCTTAGCGAGAAAGTTTTCCAACGCTTTGTTTACGTGATATTAAAGAAAAACTCCCTCGGTAGCGTTGGCTATGCGCTGCGCTTCTACGACGAACAAGCAAGTCGGCATGAATCGAAGGAAACTGTGTATATAGAATAGTAAATGAAAAAGACGTAACAAATAAAATTGAACTTCTCATTTGCTATCTACTTACACAGTTTCCTTCGAGTCATGCCAACTTGCTTGTTCGTAGTAAAGCGCAGCGCGTAGCCAACATTACCGCGGGAGATTAGTCGGGAGACTTAATCTGATTGATCGGAGTTTTTCGTTAATATCTCGTTAACAAAGCCTCGGAGAACTTTTTATCTAAGGAAAAATGTATTCCAAATCACCTTACGAGTGACCCATTTCAGAGATCTACAACACCGTACAACACTTTTGTTACACCCTGTATATGTCTATGGCTTAGAACAGCTTAGAAGTGCCTATAGAGAGTTTTTAGTAGAGCCATTATAAGTAGTGTCTCTAGAAGTGACCATCCCGTACCTATATATACAGTTTAGTGGGGTATATAAATAGTTCAAAATATGTAATTATATTGTGCCGAATGGTTGACAGAGATCAAAACATAACGCGTACTTCAATTTCATTGAGTAAATAAAACAAATTTTTTAAATGTGTACTAAGAAAACAATACCGTTTCTATAAAGTAACATAATAATGGTTTTCACGAAAACAATTTTGAATTCCACATGCAGGAACCTTAAGACATTATTAGTTTTAAGGTTATATAAACAATCCAACCGCATAGCGTGTGCCAGTAATATACGAAACAGAACATTTATTACATTTCAAAGATTTCCAGAAAAGTATAAACATTTTCTTCAGTACCGAAAATGTACAAATACGGCAATAAACGAAATCGAACCAGCAGATAGTTATACTAGGCCAAAAATGATTAAAGAGCATGAAGTCATGCATTGCATGATGAAAAATTCCATGCAATACAATAATACTATTTTACCATCTATTAAAGCATACGCCATTGTTGCCACAGCAGAAATAGAGAACTTAATTAACGTGGATTGGAAATCAGAAACTGCACTTTCCTGTTACAATGCTATAAAAAAAATAGCATGTTATTATCTACATGGTTCAGATCCAGATGTTGAAATACCTTCTGATATTGTATTTAACCTTAGCAATAAGCTCTCTTCACTTGACGATAAGCACATCCAAAAACTAATGCAATATCTGATTATTGTGAAAAATAAGTTAAATAATACAAAACCTTATGACAGACTTATAAAACAATTGAGTGTGGAATGTTTAAAACGATTTTTCTGTTTTAATACGCCACAAATGTTTTTAACACTTGATGCATTTTATCAACTTCAGGAATATAACTGTGATTATGTGTGGCGTGCACTCAGAAAGTTGGGTTCAAAGACTCAAAAATTTTCAGGCCCCAATATTGTTCAATATTTATTTTACTTAGGCATGTGTCGTGTTCCGGATATACAAATGTTTGAAATTGAATGCTGCTTGGATGAACACATATCTGAGATTACTGTAGATGAAATTGGTATTGCATCTAGAGGCTTCTTTATGTCACAAAGAAGACTTCAGAATAAATCATTAATGACAAACATAATGAAAAAACTTGAAACCAACATTAATTCTATAAGTAGTATCAGCATAGGAGCCATTATGAAATTAATTCGGTAGAAGAAATAATTCCATTTATGAATAAATGTTTCTTACATTATCATTTGACAAACATATGTGTTTGCAGATACAGTGATTACTGTCATATTGTACCCTTATTTCAAGAATTACTAGTATCTTTACGTCCACAAATACCAAACCTGCAGTTATATGCTGTAACACATATTTCACATGCAATGGGGTCTCTACGTGTATATGATGAAATTTTAATGGATAATATTATTACGAGGTACTTGCTGTCAGAAGAAAATAGTACTAACACATTTAGTTTTAAAAATAATAATATTCATACTTAATCTAGGATACAACAGGATTATGATGCAGCAAGATTGAAAGATATTGAAAGGATTATTTATGCTCTTTGTACAGTCACTCCATATAGAAAGTATCATGATGTATGTCATGAATTATTTAAGCCAATAGCATTAACGTATAATACAACATATTCACAGGAAATTCAATAGTAAGTTCTTATTAAATACACATAATGTTGAATGTATATACATCATTAATTCATAAAGTTTTAAAATTTATCTTACACATTTTCCAGCTTCCCAAAAACGCTTATTCGTATTTTAGTGTTTTTAGCAAATAAAAATATATATTCAGAAGAATTAAGTGAATATGTATTGAATCCACAGTTGGTACATAGCATATACTGCAACAATATAAGAAACTTAACAAATGAACTATTAATTCTTTGCTGTTCTATTAAAATAGAATTGCCAAACTATAAAGGTCCACAATTAAATGATAACATATATAATTGTTTAATAAAGGTATTATTTGATATTATTTAACATGAATAATTTAAATGAAGTATTCAGGTAGTTAAATACTTTCCTACTGTTACAGAAATATTGCAATAGAATCGATATATCCGAGAGACACATTTCTGTAAAATTTCGAACTGAAGTTATATTTCTGTGCAAGGTACATTTACAAAAGCATATAAAAGAAATATTACAAATGACGAAGATAATTAATAGTTTGAATTTATTACAACAGGAAAAATTGAAAATAGACGTGCATACTAGTCACATACTACCTCATTATTATTCTCCTGAAATTATAATTTGTTTCGATAAAGACAATAAACTGGTCCCAGTTAAGCCTATTCTATCAGATATGCCAAATGGAACAATTAAAAGAGTAGATACAGATGATTTACAAAATATAAAGTGGAAAATATTATTCTTGTTAAGTAGTAAATGTGAAGTATTAGGACAGAATGGTTACATAGGATCCATGTATCAAAAGTTTAGACACCTCAAGGCTATTGGATATACACCAATTGCAGTAATATGTTTTGGACTTCGCATGATTAATAATAATTAAGATACTAATACAACAGTTTCCTACATCCATATACACCATGGGTAATCTCATTCATATTCTTGCAGCTTCCTGAAAAAGAGTTCAAAACTTTAACTAGTGAACATGAAAAATGCTCTTATTTGGAACATAAAATTTTCCAAGAACATGGCGATGATTTTTTGGAAGGATAAATTGTCTGAAAGAGAAAGTGCAAATATATAAAATTGTATAAAGAGGCAAGTACGTATATAATGTTACAACATTAATATACTTAACAGTTGTTAAGGTGTAATAGCTAATTTTAAAAATAAAATTTTTATATTAGAGTTATAAAGAAAAAGTTTCATAGAATATATATTGCTATTTATATAAATTGTTCTTGAATACTGAACAAATTTATATGTTGAGATATTTACATCAATGTGGAAATATAAGTTGTTCGTGCAATGATTCTACTTACATACAATATAATGTACATATATAGATCCTACTGTCAATACTAGTCCAGCAAGCTGTGCATACATTTTTTGGTATATTCGTATGTTACAAATAATGTAGCCGTCGCTGGTATTGTTCTTATAAGTGTCGGTTTCAAGCCATTGTATAAGGAGCCAACACCTTCGTTCCTCACAATATCTTTCAGGACTACTAGTGCTGGCGTTTTTAAATTTTTTACCTTGAAGTATAATTACAAATTAAATTTCAAATGACTTTTAATTTCGTATATACCGATACGTGAATGGGTAAATATATATAGTTAACCTGTATTCTACTTTTAACTACGTCCGCTGGAAATATAACCAGCCATAATATGGTACCACCGACAGCACCAGCTATCATAGTTTTCTGCCAGCCGATATCGTCTCGATGTTGATTCGGTTGTGCGAGAAGTTCTCTTGTAATCTCATAACCCCCAAAAAAAAAGAAATACCCGGGCATCTCGCGTGCTATGGTTGAAGATAAACCATTAAATAGACCTTTTATTCCTTGCTCCTTTAGAATTTGGTTTGTCAGTTTCCAAGGACCAATTTGCTTCTAAAGAATAAGCAATGGCAAATAACCATTGTAGTTATTAATCATGTTATTTCATATGTGTAATTTTTATTTTTATTTTCTTTAAATTACCCTAACTGAAGTTACTGCCTGTGTCATTTCACTTTGGACTTCTCTCATTGCTTGTAATTTACATTTTATTAACTCTGTTGGGCACAGTGTTAAGGAAGAAAAGAACGCAGCAAAAAATCCAGCACAAGCATTTTGAATGGAAGTTAGATCCTCTACCTTTTTGACACCTATGCACAATTATTCTTCTTCAAACTATAAATTGAAATTTAATGTGTGTTAAGATAGTTATAATACCTAATATGTTAGAAATAACTTTTTGACATCCCCCGTATGCTGCAAATAGAACTGAATTTTCTGCAACATTAGCAACCACTGCAGGCATAGTTCCTGCGTACAAACCACGTATTATTCCATCCGTTTTTAACGTTTTCAAAAAGCAATTTACCATTCCTTTGTACATGGTAGGAAATGTTTGCATCTTTACCTTAACAGTATCTAATGGTTGCCCAACGTATACAAGTGCCATCCCGCCTTAAAATAGTATATAAAATAAAAGCTTATAAACATAATACTCTAGTAGCTTCTTAAGTATAAACAATCTGTTAACACAATATGTTATAGAGTTGTCTCGTAATTTTCTTTCTTTGTCATATGAAAATTTTAATATAACAGTATCAAAAATGAGCTATAGAAACATTATTGTAAAAATATATTCCAAAGAAAATATGTCATATGCATTGGAAGTAAAGCTGAATGTAAATTTGCAATATAATAGTAAAAGTAATTTTAATTTACCAGTTACATCATTTGAATATTGTCTTTCACAGTGTTTACAAACCAAGAAATCTAATAGATTCAAACATGTTAAGGGATGTCATTACCAACTGATCCAGCAACGAAATCAATAAAACCGTCTTTCATGTTATTTAAATGCTCATTTCCTTTTTCATTGAACTCGAACGTCATTGTTATTTTTCTATTAACAAATGATCTTTAACTCTTAAGTAGAACAATAGGTTAGCACGTGGTTTCGCTGTAATTGTGTCCCATCTACTGGTCTCTGTTTGATAAGAAAAAAATTCATTTGTCGATTACAAACTCGTAGGAATTCTGAATCTTCACTTTCATAAATCTTTTATTGACACAATGATATTCACGGCACACATTTACAGATATCTCGTTCATAATACCTACCCGCGTTTGCACACATACTTATGCGATTAATCACAAACGAGAATATTTCGTCAGTGGATTGACAAAGCGAGAAATTATTCATTGATTGGTAACAATTCAAATATTAAATAGATAGGTAGCGATTAATGTTGAAATCATAATTCACATACTCGTGAAGAAAGGTAATTTTTCAATTTTTTGACGCTCTTGCTGAGAAGTTACTGCCAGAATAATAACGATGTTTATGTTATTTTTTTGTGATCTGTTTTTGAAATTTTGCATATCGAAGGCAAATTTTTCTGTCGAAATTCTTTAAAAAATATTTATAACAAAATTGACCGTATATCAGCGTACATAATATTAGAATCTAATCGGCAAAGCAGATAATAATCAATTGATGATAAAGTATATATTACTGGAATAAAAATCAGATAAAATACGTTAACTTGGATATGCACATGAATTAGATAGATCAGTGGTTTATGTAACTTTTTTAGATGAAAAATTATTTTATTTAGACAGTCCTGTTGGGTATGCAAATTATATATCACAATCTGCAAAAAATGAACGAATTCTTTATCATCACCCAACTGCTGATACAGTTATGACAAGGAGTGCAATCCTAAATAGTTTGTGGTGCAATTTCTTAATCTAAATTAATTTATGCAGCAATTATGAAACGCTATTAATACATTCAATTCTATTTTTACACTATTCTGACTTAATTCAGTGTGGGAAAAAATCAAAATCCCTTTTTCATAAAAAATTTTTAAACAATTTATTTCGATCTCATACAGATAAAATATTAGCTTCTTAAAAATCAACTCTTAAATTTAATTCTAAGAAAAAATGTCCTTTTTTTTGCGAGGTACTTTCAAGAAAGTACTTATCATGTAGAAACAGAATTAAGTGAATATGAATATTTTTGAGAATGTATTCGGGAAAGGCTGAACAAGCTATAAGGTCATAAGATTAGATTTCTTGAACAGGATACTGCTATGATACACTCAGCATATTTAATAAAAGAATGGTTTCTTAATAAAGATATTTGCTATATGTGGGTTTTTTTTTTAACACAAACTTGTAGTGGTATAAAGCAATATGAACAGCCTTCTTATTTTATTAGAACCACTCAGGTTGCATGGATTAATATAACAAAATTTGTGCTTACATTCATTATACTATCTGCTTCCCAATGAAATGTTTGTAATTTTTTAAAACAAGGCTCTTAATTTGACACATGTTGCAAACAGATTTTGCCATATTTTGTTTATAACTGTACCTTATCTTGATCAAAATTTGTGCTTACATTCAATATACTATCTGCTTCCCAATGAAATGTTTGTAATTTTTTAAAACAAGGCTCTTAATTTGACACATGTTGCAAACAGATTTTGCCATATTTTGTTTATAACTGTACCTTATCTAGACATTTTATAATTTTGAACAAAATGTGTAATTTTTATAAAATAAAATAGAAAATTAAGTCTTTTACCTTTATGTTATTTATAAGTTATTAAGGAAACAAGTGAGACTATACATGTATTATTTATGTTCTTTTGTCTCTTCTAGTTTCTAGAAGTATTAAGTTACTTGAGAAATATTATTGAAAACATTTATGTTACTGGGGTCATCTTTGGTATCAGCTGGTATAGATGTATCTGTTATATATGTATGTATCTATAAATCATTCTTAACAAATCGACATTTCCTAGTATAAAACAATAGTATTCTTATTTCAATCTCTTGAATTCAATGATAACGATCATTTGATTAGTTCAGTTAATATTAAAATTCATATTTTATATCAGGTTTAATTAAAGTTTAAAATTGTTATTCAATTATTGTAATTATGACGTTAAAATTCTTGCTTCAGAGGTTTTGGATAGAAAGAGAACTGAAAAAAAGCATTCACCATCCATTTGATCCTGAAGATTATGAACTCTAAGAATGCTAAACTTCTAGTTTACTGTGATTATTGCGTTATATTTTGTTACTTGATCAGTTTTTAAAGTGAGCCTATTCACGCGATATGTGTTGCAAACCGATTTTATCGACTTTTATTCAAAACAATGCCCGTTTAAATGTCTGTCAGTTTCCAACCACCACGTACATATGTCAAAGAAACACACGGGTTTACTGTTTTTCTATAGAATTTATTAAAAACAAAACACACAATTATTCTACTTAAGTAAACAGTACAATATGAACATGTACAAGTAACTGATACAAAGTCCGCGTAACAACACGCTTACACAAATAATTTAAACGTTATTGTTACAAGATAATGTGGAGTAACTAACCAACTCAAACGGTCGTCATGGAAACGCAGTGTTACAGCTTTTAAATTTCACGTTACTAAATTAACACATCTTGACAACTTCAGTTTGACTATTATAAAGGACAGAAAGAAATTTTCACTGAAAATATGTGGTGCACCGATCATCCACCCAGAACTGCATCTTAGACTAATATTACTTTCCAATAAGCTACTTATAAGTCTCTTGAATTTAATTGCAATCGGGAAAGCTTTCGATTAATTTAGATAATTTAGTAAATCACAAATGTTACTAGATAGACCGATGTGTTCAAGACATATATGTATGACGTACGCGACATTCTGTAGTTCCAAAACATGGATTTTCTCGGTTACGTTCTAGATTAAATGGTTATTGTTTCTTAATTTGTTTTGGCGAGACGAGTATTGAGTTTCGTCCGAGTCACAAGGAAATCACTGTGGTTCGACACAATGGTCGGTGTCTTTGCCGTACTAAAATAGGGAAAGTGTGTGTGCCTATAGTAGAACTGCCATGATAGATTCGAACGCGTCTTCATCTTATTCCAAAAAAGTCAAAGATTGTTAGCAAAATGCGTGATTTCTGTTGTCAGGAGAGCTTCTTTAAGGTAAGTGTACTGTTAGGGTGGATATCAAACTGCTTGATCATTCTTGAGTTCATTAAGAAGAAGGGAAATTCTTCGAATAAATTGGAACGCAGCGTGCCTCTAGGAGCGCTCTGGCTCCTCTGCGCCATTAGAGTTCGGAGCATGATCTCCAGATATTCCTGTTATATTGATGAAATAACACTTAACAACGATCAAGTACTTTTTTTATGCTGTTCGTGTTCCAATCTCAATCATTCAGTTTTGTGTTGGCTTACGAAATAATTTACCGATACGATTGATACGTCAGTATCTCGAAACTTTTAGTAGTGCATTCTTCGGCTGAGAATACACTTTTTCTGTTACTTTTCTCTCTTTAATGTAACATTTAATACCTTTATTCTCGTCTTGTCTATCTTCGAAATATATCATAGTTGAATTTGATGCATTATTTTAAAACAATTTTTAGTTTCCTTTCCATCAGTTTATGTATCTTGTTTCAATGATTCTTACATGATTTGTCATACTTACATTTGTTTCATATTGAAAATGTACACACTGAGTTCAAATATAAACTAGTAATTGTAAATAACAATTTGTAGTATGCATAAAAGATAATTCTCCATTTGTATACTTTACATAGTATAATGTTTCATTATTTAATTAATATTAATTACTTAGGATCAATCATCTTGTCTTAAATAACGGATTATTGTTTTATTTCTTAATAAGAGATATGGGAGCTATTAAATTGGTTATGTATGATATTAAAAAGTAATTGTATAGTTCAATTTCTATGAAGAAATATAAGTTATATTATTTTTTAAAGTATAAGAAAGTAAATCAATGACAACTATAAGAAGAGTATGCTGTACATATTACAGTATAGTGTCAATAATCAATCTTATTGTTAGCTATTCAATTGTTGCAGATATTTTTCGATTAATTTGGTATTTTTCTTCTCCAGTAACAGTACGGATTGCAGAATGGTGGTGGACTGCTTATCCATTCAAAGCTCAGCAGCTATAGTACGGAAGCAGGAGCGAAGATTAGGTGGGTCAGTGGGTGCAAAAATGCAACCTAACAATGTTGGTAGTTGCGGTGGCATGACACCCAAGGAACTTTCTGACAACGATGACCTAGCTACTTCTCTCGTGCTAGATCCTTATTTAGGATTTACAACCCATAAAATGAATATTAGGTAAATATCTTTAACAGTCAAGCAAGTTCACAGAGTAATGGTATTATATATAAAAATCTTTATTTAATTGCAAAGGTACAGGCCATTGAAAGCAAATAAAGAAGAACTACGAAAAATTATTTGTGAATTTATTCAGACGCAAAATTATGAAAAAACCTATAAAAAGTTGATGGGTGGTGATTGGGGTGCACGACTTCCACACACAAAATCTAAACAACAACAGATAAACTTGGAGAAACATGTGAGCTGTGCTTGCTAAAGAAAATATGTTTAGTACAGTTTTCATACTTTCACCTGTTTCAATTGTTTTCTTCCTTTTTTGATATAGATTTACCGATACTTACGAGTTTTTGACAAGGATTCCGGGTTTGCAATAGAACCTTGCTATAGATATTCTTTAGAGGGTCAAAAAGGTGCCAAAATTTGTGCAACTCGGAAATGGTTGAAGCATGACAAAATATCTTGTCTTGTTGGTTGTATTGCAGAACTTAGTGAAAAGGTTTGTTTACTGTCGACAGTAGCAAAACGGGGAAACGTACGAATGTTTTACATTCGAAATAACATTTTAGGAAGAAGCAGCATTATTACATCCTGGAAAGAATGATTTCTCTGTAATGTTTAGCTGTCGGAAGAATTGTGCGCAACTATGGCTAGGTCCAGCAGCATACATTAATCATGATTGTAGAGCTAACTGCAAGGTGAATAAGTACATCTAATGTGCTTCTCTTTTTATTATAATTATTACACACTCACAGTAACAATTCATTTTATTTAATCGGTACAAAATAAAGTTTGTAGCAACGGGAAGAGATACAGCTTGTGTTAAGGTTCTTCGTGACATTGAAGTGGGAGAAGAAATTACTTGCTTCTATGGAGAAGATTTTTTCGGGGATGGTAACTGCTACTGCGAATGTGAAACCTGTGAAAGGAGGGGAACTGGAGCTTTTGCAGATCAAAAACCTGGAGAAGAACTTTCCTCTGGTACTTGTTAAAGTACATGATGTTGCAGCCACAGAGACCTATATTTACAATCGCTGATAAACTTAAAATTATTACAGGGTACCGTTTAAGGGAAACTGACAATCGTATTAATCGTACGAAACATAGGCAACAGCCATTAAATCGCAATAAACAACAAGCAGACACTGCGCTTACAGAAAGAAATGCGGTGCTTGTCGGTAATGCAGCAGTAGCACCACAGAGTTTGAGCATGAAGGAGTTACGGAGAAAGGGTTTAACAAAGTACGATGCAGAGTTATTAATTGCACAAGGATGTCGGTTTTCTGATATCACTCAGCAGCAGCCTATCATAAACAATGGAGAAAACGTGCTACAAGTGTCGCGCCCTCACCCTTCTGCGATTGCCAATTCTGTGACAAGAAATTTGCGGAATAAACAACTTAGTAAATTTGACAATAACAACGGCCATCAAAACAATGTCAAAAATAATCAAACCCTTAGGGCCTCCAGGTAAAAGTTTATGCTTCAAAATATGAAATATGAATTTTAAACGCAGCGTGAAATTACGTTTTAATTTTTTACGTCCAGGCTTCATAGGAGAACAGAAACCAAAAAGAACAGAGTTTCTGAGAAAGTTAGATCTCCGTTGAATGGTTCCATACCAAAAAATATTGAAATAGAAGGTATAACTCATCGAAAAGAGGATTCAGATAGAGTGGAACTAGCTGAAGAAGTCGTCTATTCCAGACTGCATAAGCTGCATTCTGAGAGCAGCATAGATCAAGAAATTCACGATATTTGCCATGTTCAAACTTTACATCATGACGTAATAGAACAATCGATTTGTTCTGACCTACAGAAAAAGTGTTCACCTATACTTGTCAAAAATAATCGAGAATTGGATAGCAGGTCAATAGACGCAAAAGAAATCTGTGACATAGAAGTTACTTCTAATTCAGTAGATAATGCTAAAGCTTCCGATTCTAGAAAAGATCAATATAGTACAAATACCTGTGATTCAATTCATCTAAGTTCCATATCTGACACTCGTTTAGATCATTTAGACGAGGCTAGTAACAAAGAATTAATTCCGCAAGAAAAGCATCAATCAAGGATTTGTCGTTATGGTCTGTCCTCAATTGACAATCCCGAGGATGTGAAGAAGAATGTGTCTGTGACTGCAGTAAAATCTAACAATTGTGTCAAAAAACTTTTCGACTTGGAACAGCAAAATTTGAATGAGCATAAAAAAGAAAATTTTGAAACTTTGGGCAAGGAAGACTTTTGCAAAGTTGAAGAACAAATGTCTTCAATTCACGTAAAGTCACCAAAACATTCTAATTTTACTGAAAGTAAGAGAAGTGTTTGTGCATTGCTGGATACGCAAAACTCTGTCAAAGAGTATAAAAGCGGTGATTCTAAAAGTTCGGCTATGTTATTCAAGTGTTTGGTAGAAAATGAGGCAAAGAAATTTAATTCATTCGTCCCGGATCCTACGAAGTTCTCTGCTAAGGATGAACATAGTGAAAGAAATTTTGTTGATGATAATTTGAAAATAAAAAATAATATGGAAAACACTTTTGGCTGCCACAGTGCAGTACTCACTCATCAGAATGATTTATTACTTAAGAATAATATGTACATAATGAATGTTGAAAAACCGAAACTTATTGAAACATATATTACGGATGCGGATTCTCGAGTGCAACCATGTAAAGAAAGTAATAAAGACTGCGGTGTACTTGTACCTAACAATTACAGTGATGTTACCACTAATAATACTTCAGAAGTTAGTCAGAATTTTATTTTAAAGCAATCATTACAAGAGAATGAAATATCGAACGTTACGTTCAGATCGCACAAGAGCAGAAAAAAGTTATTGAACGATAAAAAATCAATTACTTCCTGCCCAAAGGAAGAATTAGGGACCGTCGTTGAGCATAAAACAACTGGCAATACGATTGCGTCCGTTTCAAAGACTCGTAACAATCTGGTTAAAACGAAAAGCCGTTTAACAAGAAATCAAAAAAGGGATCGACAAAAACTAGCGGCTGCTGACATCAGTGTAGCGGATGATGATTCCGGTATTCAAGGTGATATTTACGAATTTAGTGAAAAAGAAAGCAATTTGGAGGATGTTCGAATTCCATCGATTATGCGAAGAACAAAACAAGAAAGCCGCCCATCATCTGTGCTTACATCACATTTACAAGAAATGCAATACAATGACGAATGCAATAAAGCCGAGCCTCCAGTATTAGTTCCGCAGGAGCCATGGCCACCTACGAGTTGTAATCAAAATCAGTTAACAGATTCGGATGGCAGTAACCAATCGCGGGAAAATTCTAACGATAGCGAGAGTCTAAAAAGGTAAATATGTTTGTGACAGGAATGCAAATGGTGTTCCGCGCTGAGTCGAATTTCAAAAATAATTGAATTTCATACTTTAGCATAATTCTACATGTCAACAAAAATAAACAGAGACCAGATGATCGCATTGTGCGATGTGTTTTCTATTGATCTTACTATCCATTGTTAACGTTCATAAACGTGAACAAAAATAAATATAATCAGTAATCTATAAACACACGAGTTCGACGATACTGATATACACGGTAACCACACAAATAATGAAATCCGATTTTTGCGAGAGTGAAGTTCCACAAAAATAAAGGCTTTATTGGCTCTACCATTCACTGCGGAACACCCTGTATAAAACTGTGTTTTAAAATATAATCGTTTACAGATTATCAACTTATAACAACGAAAGTGCACAAAAGCCAACCACTTTGACGGAATGTCAGTGGCAAACGAGTAACTCAAATTGTCAAGTTTGTCCAACCACGCCGGAAAGAACCGGTCGATTAAAGCTTACTCTTCGTATGAAACGTTCACCGGTTTTAGAAGACATTGTGGAGTCAGGAACGAGCCTCAGTGAAGATAGTTACGAGCCTGAATATGAAGTATTACGTGTGGAGGGCGTGGAAAGAAGTAGGCGTAAAAAAAAGCACAAAACCCGAGACCGTGAAAGACGGCACAAGAAACGTGACTTGAACCTCGATCCTCCACCACCGCCAATGAAAAGGTTGCGCTTGATTTTTGGCAATGAAACACATACCATTGACTTTCCACATTCTTAACAGCTATAAATAGGAATTTTCGGTTTCATTCAGAACAAATTATGAACACTCGGTCTTATTAGAGGTTTTGCAGAAGTAGAAAGGACTTGAGAGCGACACGAGTTATCGCGAGAATCTTTAGAATCTTTAAGGATAAGGTTAGAATGTTTTCTCTCTTGCGTTACAATTCACCGTCTCAATTTTTCCTTGCCTCTTATTCTTCTAGCAACGAATAGTTCAAGGCCTAATGTAGTTTTTTTTTGTTTTGCAAAGAAAAAAAGCCAAAAAATATAACGTTTGGACGAATCTTGAAGAGAAGAATATAACATTCATTGGTCTATTTTAGGTTTTTATTCAGTGAATGCTCGTTTAAAAATTTAGTACAGTAGTCTGAAATGGATTACGTGTAATAATTTTGGTTCATCGTTGTTTTCGATCACGATGAAAGTAATACTTTATTTTACCAATCGTGATAATTATTTTTTTTTAAATGAATTATTGTGTACATACGATTTTGATATAAGAGACAGGCTTAAAAACATGGTCTTTCAAAATTACTTTATCTTTGACATTAATAAATTTATTTTGTTAATGAATTTTCTTACTAATATTTATATTGTATGCAAAATTTACGCATGTAGGGTAACGAATAATTCAGATATCGATGATACCCTTTCTGCTGTTTAAAGTTCGGAAGGGAAACACCGATGAATTCAGTTACATTTAAGCACTGTTTCAGTAGATAAAGAGGGCAAAGGAGGAAAATCCATACTCTTATACTATGTATAATAATAGATATTATTATTTGTATATATACATATATATATATACACATACACATACATATATTATATATATGCTTGTATATATACGCGCGTAGGTATGCGTGTACTATTTTATCCATGATATACGCACACGTACGTGCGTATATGTGAATATTCATTACTGTATTCTGTATGTACTATAATGACTCGATGCATATGAACGTGGAAATATGCGCGTAGCACATTAACGTCATTGTGTACCGAATACACCGTTTACGGATATAGTAACGAAATAATAATAAGAGAATTTCGTTTAGCGAGCCAAGAGTTAAAAGGAAATTAGTTCAAATACGAAACGAAAAAAAGAAGAAGAACGAAAGGAAGCGAGTAATCATCTCATTAACATTGTTTCTCACGTCGAATTCGAGGAACGGAATCTTTATGTTAAAACCATTGCTTTGTATGTAGGAAGATGTCGTTTCGATTATGGAACGAATTAAGTTGTTGAGGCTTAAAGCTCCGTTAAAAGAGTTGCGTGATTGTTCGAATATTTAGATCTGAAACGTTTTTCAATTGAAGTATTTTGTACGGAATCATTTTTCTTTCTCTCTTTCTTTCTTACTCCTTTTTGATGGGTATAAAACTATTGCCATACACGCTGTATTTTTTTAAATTTTCATACTTTTCCAACAAAGTGATCGTTTCTTTTACAAACCTTCACGCGTTTAATGTGAACTTTTACATTAATTTTTAGGACATCGTAATAGGAGTATACCATTATTTATTGTACATGATTCATTTGATTTGTACATTGGAGCCACAATTGAATTAATACATGCGACGAAAAATTATTTCGTTGCAGGAAGTATTCGTACTATTCGTCGCGTTTTATACACATGTAATGATATACAATTGAGAAGAAAAAAAACATTTAGGAGGCACATATACGATGATATTTCTAACCCTAGTTTCAACTTGTCGTCTTTTGAAGTGCATTTCATCTCAGAATCTAAGAATCACCCTCAAATAATGTGTTTATTGACTTACCAAAAAATCATATATAAGATTACAGTTTTATTACTTAACATATAAACACTTCTTATGGTTCATATTGATAAACAATTACTACAATTCGAATCCAGATTATATATAGAGCTTGACATACACTTTAAACGTGATGAATCTAGCCGTGGATACAATAACGTTCCACGAGATTAACATGTTGAAGTTGTTTTATGTTTCGTTCGTTCGCATAATGTAACATTTCCTTTCATATGACTAATGTTGAATTTTTATCTAGCGAAATGCAATCGCGGCAGTGTAAATGTATCACAGGCTGCTGTAAATTTGTATTAAATATATGTGTATATTTTTTTCTCTTTTTCATCCTATATTTATCAGTAAGATGTACGCGTGACGACGACGACGATGACGATGACTACAGCAACAAACGAAAGAGTATCAGAATTTTGCGAGAAGTTGATAGAAAAAAAAAGGATGGACCAGGCGGAAAAATCAGTATTAGATCAGTCGATTGACATATTTTAAGGGAAGCCAACTAATATTTATAAACTCGAGTTCAAAATTTAAACATGATCAAATGAATCCACGGCGATCATTCCTCCACCGTGCAATAGAGCATTTATACAACGTTAAGGACGTTCTGTAATTTAACTTAATCATTATATAAAATAGGATGTAATTTTCCTTGATAGTATGTCCGTTAATCGATCTATAACATTCTGTAAAGATTGTGATAAAGATGAACCTATTGTATTATTCGATTCAACTATTCTCGTTCTGACGTAGCGCCATTATAGTCACTGTTTTATTCTCTAAGATTTTAGCGAGTTGTCCAAGTATCACTCGCATTGATCGAATTATTAAAACGAGAGACAAGCAAATCTAATGCGTATTTCCAGATTTTTAAAACAACAAAATCTGTATGAAAAAAAAAAAAGAATTAGAGCAAAACTTGTTTCCCAGCATTCTGTGAAATATTTCGATTGGATTCCATGTCCCCTAGAACAATCGAAAATTCGGCTCGATTGAAATTTTCATTGTCGTGTATGTGTGGTAAAAAATCGTAGCGATTTTACAATAATAATGTGTAACTTTTATCGGGAAAGTTGATGGAATATCGATGCGTTGCGAATTACGACAAAACGTTCTCGCCAAAATTTTAGCAATGACTATTTACTACGTGCGTATATTTTGATGAAGGATAGAATTATCGTGTCAAAGATGACGCTGACGAGCGACTCTAAGATAAAGTCGAATGCTCGTCCGTGACGAAGCTAGCGCTTTTTAAAATATGCTAGCGAAAAAGATGCGAACGATTTCGATTGATCATCGATCGAAATGTGCATTCAATCTGTCACCTTTTTACGTTTCTGTGTGTGTATTGCATCGCGCTGGCATGTTATGTATCTCTACGTAGTGTGTCATGAGTACGTGCGCTCAGGTGTGTGTGCTGTGTGGTGGTGATGACGTGCCTGGTATGTATGTGAATGTGTTTGTGCGTGCGGCAGGCAGGCGCGCGCCGAAAGAGCATACACGCGCATCTCATCAACGTAAGATTGTGATTTTTATTTTCGCTTAGCCCGAAGATACCCTTTGCTTTCCGTTATGGGGCAGCTTTCCTCTCACTGCCATTATAAAATCGTTAGTTTCCTCTTTAAATTTAATGCTCGTCATTTTTAAATTAATAAACACAAAGTTCATGCATACGAAGTGCAATGTTACAATAGTTGTCGTAAGTGAAACCTACGTATATGAACGGTAATTTTAATTACGAATTATGCCTTAATACTCGGTTTCGATAATTTAATGAACTTACAGTCTCGGCGTACACTGTAACTGTATTATTGTCAGTACTGTAATTGTATTATGTTTGTTGATCAAAAAAAAGGCAAAAACATGAAATTGTATATTATCATTATTATTTTCTACGAATTAAGGTATAATAATAAATGAATTGCATAGCCCAATAATATCTACGGATTCATTATTGTTTCGAACAGTCTGAATTACATGAGTTAATAAAACCTGTAAATGTGTAACGCAAGTGTTGCAGTACGTGTACAAATATATAAGTAACTGATCGTTTTGCACATCAGAAGGTATTACTTTAAATATACTTCTGATATAGCAGTATGATGTACGAAAAGTTAATATTCACTTTCTTATTCCTTTTCTTTTCCCGCGGCATTATTTGACTAAGTAGACATCTGGTAGCCGTGCTGCATGTTAGAATTAGAGATGGCGTGAACTGCTACTTGTGAATCACTCGTGATTCCATCACGTTCGTTCCCAATCACGGTGATTTTTATCGCTTACGATCGCAGTGAGCAAATTCACTTAAGATAAAAAAATCGCAATCATGGTCGTAAATGAAGTTAAATCACGACCGTGATCGTGATTCGGCGATCACTGTGATAAATCACCGTTAGTGATTTTGCATGCCATCTCAAACTGAAACCGTTTTGTAATTTGATAATTTGAATGCAATCCTTTAAGAAATAGCAATTCTTTCTGAAATTGTCACATGCTTCTAAATAGATGAAACTGTGCGTTCGATGTGGTAAAAGACCCCGTGTGGTGAGATCGTGGGGTCACAGAACCCCGCAGGAAACGCCAGAGACTTCGTGTGGTGAAATCGTGGGGTCATAGAACCCCGGAGCATAGTGGAGACCACGTGTGGTGATAGCGTGGGGTCATAGAGGCCCCAGAGATGACACCGAGACCCCGTGTGGTGAGAGCGTGGGGTCTCAGAACCCCCGGTGCATACGCAAGAGACCCTGTGTGGTGAGAGCGTGGGGTTCTAGAGCCCCCGTAGATGGCGCCAGAGACCCCGTGTGGTGAGAGCGTGGGGTCATGGAACCCCTGGAGCATGTGCAAGAGTTTTGAAAAGTGATCCGAGTACTAGACATTTTTACACTTTGAATCTCATATCGATTTGTAAAATAATCCTAGTTCGATGTAATATAGAACGTGGTTGTATGATATAGATTCGAAGTTCGCAGCCATTAGCTCGATATTGTCTTCAGTTTACAGTGTTTTACCGATGACAATACCGATTGCCTAGGCCTCACCACGAGGAGGTTGCTGCGAGTGGAGGCCCAAGGCAGGTCGATGGAATCACAAGTTCTACATCTACCCACCTTTCACAATAAACCTTATAAATAATTTAAATCTTAACTATCTAATGCTATCGCTACTAAAATCC